CAAGACGAAGAAGGCAAACGATTCTGAAGCAGATACAAGAGGATGGGTTAGAAGGCAGTAGACTAGACAGGGGAGTTGAGGAGGAGGCTGAAGAAGGCAGGATTGGGGGAGGGAGGAGGAGAACGAGGCGTAGAAGAAGGGAAGATTGGGGATTCAGGAGAAGGTCGAGGAGGAGGAGAAGGTCAAGGAGGAGGAGGAGAAGGTCAAGGAGGAGGAGGAAGAGGAGGAGGAGGAGGAGGAGGAGGGGTGTTTGGTAAGTTTGTCTTCAGGTCTGCTAGAGGCGCTCCTGAACCTCTTGAGGGTCGGAGGACCTCGGGCGAAGGAATCAGCCATGGCTGCGCTTTCAAACCTCACGCTTGACCAGGTCATGATGATGACGATGATGATGATGGTGATGATGACGACGACGACGACGATGGAGATGATGATGATAATGATGATGATAATGATGATAATGATGTTGATGACCAAGATGATGACGATGATGATATCTGTCTCAAACTGAAACCATTTGCCATCACAGGATTGTGCTTGTGCGCTTACCAAGGTTCCTCAAACTCTCCTACTCACCCTCTCTCGTGCTCCACTTCTCTTCCTCTCACCCCTCTCCCTCCACTGCTTTCTTCTCCTCCTCCCCTGCCCTGATGACCTCTCAAGGCTCCCGAGGCGCTTGCTGAGCTCGTCGGAGAGATGATGTCTGGTTCACAGAAAGCACAGCAGCGAGCGACGGTAAGGAAAGAGACAGGAGGGGAGGGAAGGAGGGGAGGGAGGGGGTTGAAGAAGGGAGGGGACAGGGAGGCAGGTAGCTTGCAAGAGAACAGGGAGGAAGGAATCGATCGAAATCCACACGAGTTGGGTAGGAGGAGGACAAGGAGGGGAGATAGAGGTTCAAGGAGTATCACAGAAGGACGCTGATGGTTTCAGTATATCTGACTTGTCTTTCTTTCCTTTCTCGACTCCACCTCCTATTTCCACTCTTCTTCTCCCCTCCCTCCTCCCGTCGCCTCCTCCGTCCGTCCCTCCCCACCCTCTCCACTGTTTCTCCCTCCTCTCCCCTCCTCCTCCCTCCCCCAGGGCATAGTCCGCAACCTGGCAGCAGTACCTGAGAACTGCAGGGTAAGGAAACAAAGCCCTCCTCTCTCTCACTTCTGCCGCAGGAGCTTTTCCTCTTTCCCGGCATCGCTTCCGTCCTGCAGCAGCTCGCCAGCGGCTCCATGCTGCAAGGGGGGGGGACGTTGCCTCCCAACGTGGAGGCGCAGGAGCGAGCGAGGATGGCACTTACGTACCTGTCAAGAGACCCCGACATCAGGTCGACACCCTCCTTTTCCTCCTCCTCCTTTTCCTCCTCCTCCTCCTTTTCCTCCTCCTCCTCCTTCTCCTCCTTCTACTCCTTCTCCTCCTCCTCCTCCTCTCCCTTCACCTCCTCCTCCTCTCCTCCTCTTGGTTGTCCCTCTCATCTCATCCTCAGCCTTTCCCCCCTCCCAGCTTCAAATTCGTCCCATGTTGAACATCTTCACCGTCTTCTCTCCCCTCTCTTCCTCCCCCCCTCCTCCTCGTTCCCTCCTCTCATCTCCTCTCCCCTCACTCCTGCTAGCAGGCACGAGCTAGAGGAGGATAGACTCCCTTCCTCTCTCAGCGTCAGATCTGCTGCCTCTCTCGGGTCAGCAGCAGCCTCTGTTTGCGCCCTTGATCCTGACATGCGAGCAAGGAGCGCGTTTCCCTCCATGATGAGCGAATTCCAGTACCCCCCGCACGAGGCTCCAGCAGATGCTGCTCCTCCCCCCGCCTCCTTTCTCAACGGCTCCCCCACCCTGCACTCCCGTGGTATGGCTGACTTTCTGCCTCTCCTCCTCCTCCTCCCGCCCTCGCCCGTCCTCTTCTGCCCTCCTCCTTGCCCCGTCTCCTCCTCTCCTTCCCCTTCCTTGTTCCCCCCACTTCTCCTTCTCCTCCCTGATGTCTCCACCAGGGATCGCTCCCCTCCTCTCCGCCTCCTTCGATTCTCAACCCACCATGAGCCAGCATAGCTCCTCCAGCCACCCCCCTCCTCCTCCTCCCTCGCACTCCCGGCCTGCCCCGCAGCTGGACAAGGACGAAGAGCAGGCTAGCGTCAATCGCTTTCTCCAGGTCTTTCTTCATTCTCACCCGCTTCCTCCTCCAAAACCTCTTCCTCCACAATCAACCCCCCCCCCCCCTCCCCCGCTACAATCCCCTTCCTCGTTTCTTTCTCCTTCTCCCTCTATCCCTCTCTCCCCCTCCCGTCCTCCTCATTCCGAGTGTTCCAGTGGATCGCCGAGCGAGGGTGGGACAGGCTTCAAGACGATCTGTTCGAGAAGGGGGAGACGGACTACTCGGGGATATCGAAGCTTCAACAGGACATGGTTGCTGTAGACGAGAGGAAGGGACTGTTCCTCCTCCACGGCCACAACGTTCACCTCATCGGCAACGACTGGCGGCATCCTGTGCTGCTAGTCGACTGCGAAACGAAGGAGGTGCTGTGGGATAAGGACGAGCATACGTTGTACGCTCAGCCGTGGGCTAGGAGGTACATGGTGTGCAAGGAGGAGGAGGAGGAGACGCTAGTCTTGCTCAAGTCGACAGGGGCGGTGGTTGCGCGGCATGCGGTGGAGAGGGGGGAGAGGAAGGAGGGGAAGAAGGAAGGAGAGTTGCTGGTGAGGGAGGAGCAGCAGCGGGAGAGAGAGGAGGGAGCGGTGGAAGACAAGCAAGAGGGAACAGAGTCGAAGGAGAAGGAGCAGGAGCAGGAGCAGGAGCAGGGCGAAGCCTGCTCTAGACGTCGACACGACGCAAGCTAGGGTCCCTGCCCCCTCTCTCCCGCCCCCTCCTCTCCTCCTCCTCCTACAATCTCTTCTCTGCCCTCTTCCTCCTCACAGCCTCGTCCTCTCTCTCCAGCAGAAGAAAGGACCGTCAAGACCTGCGACGTCTCCCTGCAGACCCAAGAGGAGCATGTCCCTCCCAAGGCCTCACGATCCCCCCCCCCTCTCGTCCTCGCAGACCCCCAGCTCGACACTCCCGCACGCGCTCAGTCCTACCTGCCCTCCTCGCAAGCAGGCGGGAAGGGAGAAGGCCTTGGGGGCAGGGAGGAGGACGAGGAGGCGCGGCAGGGCAAGGGATCGATACCCCTAAGATCATCGAGGAACGGGAAGTTCCCTTCGGACCCGATGCTTTGGAGGAGGATGATGACAGAGGGAGTGGTGGAGGAGACGCACGACGGGACTTTCTTTTTCCTCGGAAAGCAGCTGACGCTGCCGGTATATGACGCGGAGGGGATAGCGATCGTGAGGGATACGAGGACGGGAGGAGTGTTCTACATGGGGCCGGGCAAGCATGAGGTGAGATTGGAGGAGGAGAGCAGGAGCAGGAGCAGGAGCAGGAGCAGGAGCAGGAGCAGGAGCAGGAGCAGGAGCAGGAGCAGGAGCAGGAGCAGGAGCAGGAGCAGGAGCAGGAGCAGGAGCAGGAGCAGGAGAGTGAATGGAGGGAGGCAGGAGGAGAGAAGGCAAGATGGGTTGAAGAGAGCGGGTGCGAAGGAGGGACTGGTCAGAAAAGAGCATAGGACAGGCGCAGGGGTTCCAAGGAGGGTTGGAAGCAGAGCAAAGGAGAAGCAGGCGGGGAGGAAACAGCGTCCACCTCCTACTCTCCCACTCACTCCCGCACGTCTCTCCTCTCTTCCTCGTCCTCCACTGCTCCCGTCCGCTTACTCGCTTCTCCCAGGTCTTCCCCCCAACGGCCCTCCCCTCCTCCTCCTCCTCCCTCCTCCGCCAGCTCTTCGCCTGGGCCAACATCCACGGCTGGCACGACCTCAGGCGCCGCCTCCTGGACGCGGGCCGCACCGACTACTCCTCCTATGCCGTGATCGAGCAGGAGATGCAGCCGCTGGGCTCGCAGCAGGGGAGGAGCGACCTGTTCTACTGGAGGGGGAGGAGCCTGCGGCTGACCGGGGAGAGCCGGTGGGATCCCAGGAGGCTGACAGACCAGGAGACAGGGGAGGTGCTATGGGACTTTGAGCAGTCGACTACCTTCCGCTTCCCGTGGGCGAGGGAGAGTCTGAGAGTGAGCTACGAAGAGGAAGCGGTGGTTGTCTATGACAGGAATGAGGACGTTCCTCTATTAGAAGTGAGTCTCTCCTCCTGATCCTCAACTTGCTTCCCGCCCTGCTGCTGTTCTTCCATTCCTTCTTCTTCGTCCCCATTCCCGACCTCCTGCTCCTCAGTTTCCAACATCTGATCCTCTTTCTCCTCATCTTTCTCCTCGTCTTGCTCCTGTCCTTGCCTCTTGCCCTCTTTCCGCCACTCTTTGTCCTTCCTCCCGTCTGACAGGACTTTACAGCTTGAGCTCGCCTGCTTCAGGGACCTTCCAGTCAACGTCAACGTCGTCCAGCTGCCCCCTGCCCCTCCCTCCCCCCATCACCTCAGAGCAAACGGCATGCATGCAAGCCCACTGCGACGCACTCTGGATGACAGGAGCCTCCGGGCTCCTCCTCCCCCCCCTGCTCCTCCTCCTCCACCTCCACCTCCGCTTATGCCTTCCCTCCCTCCCATGTCTCCCCATCACTCCGACTGGTTGCACTCCCCGGCGGAAGGAGCTGGAGCTGGAGCTGGAGCTGGAGCTGGAGCTGGAGCTGGAGCTGGAGCTGGAGCAGGTGGTACCCCTGTCTCCCTCTCCTCGGTGGTGGAGAGGCTCAAGGAGTGGACGGAGAAGAACGGATGGTTCGAGCTCAAGCAGAGGCTCTTCGACTCCGGCAGGACGGACTACCTGGGCTACAGCATGATAGAACCCGTCCTGGTCGAAATCCCTGGTAAGGAGGGGCACTACCTCCTCAACGACCGGGAGGTCCAGATCGTCGGCCATCGTCTCGACCCCATCGTCGTGCTGGACTGCGAGAGCAGGGAGGTGATGTGGGATGCGGAGAGCAACACGAGGTACAACTTTCCCTGGGCAAGGGAGAGACTGAGGATCAAAAAACTACCTCCTCCCTCCTCCTCCTTCCAAGTCCTCGACAAGCTCTCGGGCAACCTGATCGTCGAAGTCGGAGGAGGGGCAGGAGCAGGAGACCATGCGGACGCGCTTGTCCTGCAGGCCGTGCTCATGGAAGCTACTCCATTCCTCCAGCGCCCCGGGGTCGAGGAGATGGCGAGCATGGCGACTGACCTCGGGATGGAGCTTGTGGTTGCCGTTCGAGACTTTTCCTCCTCTGAGATGTCGCAGTCGCACTCTCAGCTTAACATTAAGGTCTTCCTGTTGTCTGCGTCCTCGCCCCCCCCCCTCCACCACCTGCTTCTCCTCTCCAGATCCCTTCTCCTCCTCCTCTGAATTCTTCTCCTCTTTTATTCTCCTCCTTTTGCTCCGCTCTTGAGCCTGACCCTCCTTCCTTCTCCTCTCATCCATCTCCAGCTCTCTCGCCTCCACTGATTCTGCTTCCTCGTCTTCTTCCTCCTGCTACCCCGCCACCCTCCCTCCCTTCCACTTCCCCTCCCTCCTCCTTTGCCTCCTCACCTTCCGTCTTGGACTCACTCTTCAGCAGGCAGGGGACGCGATCCTTGTCAAGCAGGCAGGGACGAAGGGATGGAAGGTAAGCGCCTTCTCTGCCTGCTCCTCCTGCTCACCTCCAGCTCTCAGTTCGGTCAGATTCTCCTGACGGTGTCGGGGAAAAGACTTTTCAGGTGACGACAAGTTGGGAAGAAGGGTAGAGGGTGACTGAGAGAAGAATCTGTGGAGGAACAGGAGGAGGAGGAGGATGTGATGTAGACGCATGATCCATGCGCATACCGCAGTATTCAATAGCATTCATTAGCAACGGCGAAGGGGGTTACATGAAAATGGAATGGAATGAAAACCGGGGGAATGAGATTGAGAGGATGAAGAATAGAGAGAGCGTAAGGGATCAAGAGCAAGGGCAAGGGCAAGGGCAAGGGCAGGGGCAGGGGCAGGGGCGAGAGCGACAGGGCGGGAGAAATGGAGGGAGGGAAGAAAGTCAGTAGGGGAGCATGGAGAGGAGCAGGCTCTTTGATTCACGGCCATGACAGCAACGACGACTTGCTTCACGGGTGGGGAGCGCAGGGATGGTTCCCGGAGACCTTCGTTGCTGCTGCTCAGGTCCTCCTCCTTCTCCTCCTCCTCCTCCTCCTCCTCCTCCTCCTCCTCCTCCTCCACCACCACCACCACCAACAACAACAACAACAACATTAACTCGCTGACTATCCTATTGCAGGAGCTGGCGACATGGCGGCAGAGAATAATACAGATCGGATCTCCGGACGACGACGGGACTGTCTCGGTGAAAATACCATCTTCTTTTCCTCATGTCTCCTTTCTCGTTGTGTTCAGATCCTTACAACCTGCGTGTTCCTCCTTTCTCCTCTCTCCTTTCTCCTCTCTCCTCTCTCCTCTCTCCTCTCTTCCTCACTCCTCTCTCCTCTCTCCTCTCTTCCTCACTCCTCCTCCACTACACCTACTCCTGTCCTTCTGACATGTCTGACCGACGTTTCTCGATTCTCCCTGCTTCCCTCGTGTACCCTCTTCTCTGAATGCTCGTTTTTCACCGTCGCTCTTCTCCTATCCTATCCTATCCTATCCTATCCTATCCTATCCTATCCTATCCTATCCTACCCCTCTCTCCTCTCCTCTCCTCTCCTCTTCTCCTTCCTGCAGGTGGTGGACGCTTCCTCTGGAGAGACCATCTTCGCTGGACTGCCGGAAGCTCCGGCTGAGCACTGGTACTTCCCGGCACAGGATGGGGAGCGATGAGAACGGCAGAGGAGAGGGTGGAAGTGATGGTGATGTAAAGTAGAATATATTACACCAAGTTATGAAAAGAGATCACGTTGTCTACCCGCGTTACTCCGCATCCTCCTCATCCTCCGCTACCTTTCATTCTCATCCTCTCCCACCACTCCCACACCAACACCACCTCCATCATGTACTAGTTCTCAGTCTCCTCCGTCTGTTTGTCTGTCTCGTATACTACGGTGTCTTCAAACTCTCTTCAACGACCTTTTCAAACTCTTCCACGGACTCAAACCTGTTAAAGCTGTACAAGACCGACTCCCTCGTCGAGCTCGGCGACAGGCTCGGGCAATACCCAAAGAAGTCCTCAAAAAGCTCCTTTGACGGGCACCAGATTGTGTCGATGCTCGTCTGAAGCTTCAGCTTCCCTTTGCTCTCGTTGTTTACCTTCATCCTTTCCAATCGGACGCTGACGAAAGCCTTCCAGCCACCCTCCTCAACGAGTGGAGCTGCTCCCCCTTGCGCTGGTTGACTCCATATCGTCTCCTCACTCCTCCGAACTTCTTTCTTGC